GTTAAAAATTATTTTTTTATTTTGTACAAACAAAATAAATATATTGAAAAATATAAAAATAATAAAAAATTATACTTCAGATGTTAATTTAGTATCAAAAACGTAAAATATTTGAGTAGCCCAAGACATAGCCAAAGATTGAAGCGCCACAGCACTGGCGAAAATTTAAATTTGCCGACTGGAATTCTTTCGGATGATTGACTTTCGGAAAATCGATGCTCTACTGTAATTTCATTGTTCTATTCAAGCATTTCATCATTGAATGCACTTAATTAATTTCAATTATTAATTACATTATTTTGAATTAAATCTCGCTGCAATCTAATTAAGGCTCATTAATAGATGTATTTATTAAACCTACAGTTATATTTGTTCCTTGTTGAATGATAGTGTTATAATTATGATTAAAATGAATTCAATGTTTCTGGATAGGTAAGATGTGTGATAACTATCTCAAATACACAGAATATTGCATCTGGTATTGGCATTGTCATTTCTAATATGATACCAGATGCCCGAGTCTTAACTATCTACTTTTTAATCTGATATATTTGTCAATTAATTCTTTAAATAAATTTATTATGAAATTGCTTTATGCATATTTTTATTTAGAAATTTTTTCAACATTATGTCTATAAATATTTTAGAGAAAGGAATTACAACTTACACCTGATGAAGCAGCTAAGTTTTATGCAGAGCATGAAGGAAAACCATTTTTTGAGAATCTTGTAGTTTTTATGTCTAGTGGTCCAATAGTGGTGATGGTTTTAGCAAAGGAAAATGCAATAACACATTGGAGACATGTCATGGGTCCTACTAAAATTAATAATGCAAAAGAATTTCGACCTGAAAGGTATTTCAATTTAATCTGTTTATTTATAATGAAATGTTTTAATTTATATCAATCTTTTTGTATCTTAATCTTATCATATTTGAATATTACATACATGATATTTTAGGTTTAATTTTAGATATTTGTCCAGGAATCATATTAGAATATTGTAATGAAGTACAGTACATATAGTATCATCATAATTAAAATTATTTATAGTGATATTTTTATGTGGAAACAATTTATCAGAAAACTTTCAAATGTAGTATACAGTATTTTAAAAGATGATTATACCTAATAGTTAAAAGATGATGATGGTAATTTGTAATAGAAAAATTAAAAGTAACATGATAGAGATATTACAGAATTTTATATCATATAATATAGGCCATCTACAAAGAAACAATGGAAAACACATCTTGTTAAAAGGAACTTTAGAACTGAAAAAATTATTGATTGAATACATTTAGCTTAGGATTACATATGATGCTTAAAGTTTGTAATATCTAATAGTGATGAAAGGTTCTAGAGTAAATAGAATATAACAGTAAGAATTTATAAAAATAAATCATTTAATTTCAAAATTTATCATAAGATCAGAAATAACATTTTATTGTTAATCTGAATACCATTTTTCCATTAAAATGAGAAGAAAATAGTCTTTTTGTTTGAGAGTATACTATGGATTCATTATTTCTGTTTTTCAGTGCTATGAATGCATTAGCACTATAGAACTTGCACTAAGTGATATTTCAGTGAAATAACTCAAAAAATTTGCATCCTACAAAACAAAATCATTAAACCATAAATGTTAGACTTTCAGAGGGTTACGGGATATAAAGAAAAAATTTGTTAGGAAGCTATTATTATTTGGTGAAAGCAATTTTTTTTTTTTTTTTTTTCAAATAATGAACTGATACAAAACTAGTTCCACATCAGCTAAAGCCATCAAGCCAGTGATAAAGAGAAGTTTATCACACGATTCCAACAAATAACAATAGCTACCTAACAACTTTTTTAGCATTTTTTCTTTGTTTTTCAGTGAAATTTGCAGACATTCACGGACTCATGTGCATGAAATGGCAGCCATATAAAACTCCCATTTAAGAAAATGGAGTTGACCCAATTTTCACTAATTCTAGCACCATTATGATGAAACTGATAGTTTCATCTTGTGGCCCATTTGAAATCTAACATTTATGGTTAATGGTTTTTCTGTAGGATATGAATTTTTCTGTTGAATTAACATATTTTTATATAATATACAGTACCAGCAAAAGATTGAATAATTGAGCAAAAATACATTTATTATTATAATAGTTGTATACTTTATATCCAAACAAAAAAATTTGAGATGTAAAAAAATTGTACCAAGTAAAAACTTATGACAATTAAATTTTTTTTAGGAGTTTTTCTTTGGTAAAGATAAGCTTGATGCTTTGAAGCATCAAGATTTTACCTGTATTGTCATTTTCTACAAATTGCTTTTAAGCACAAAGTTTATCTTTACCAGAATAAGAACTCCAAAGAAAAAAATTTGACTGTTGTCTAAATTGTCATAAGTTTTTATTTGGTGCAGTTTTTTTACATCTCAGATGTTTTTGTTTGGATATCAATTATTTTTTGGTTAATAATTATATTGTTACATAAGGTTGATGACATGCAATTCAATTGGCAATCAGTGACCACTGCTGACTGAGCACTTTCAATACACAATTTAGAAAAATCATTATAAAATGTTATAGTTTGCATAAATTTGAGTTTTTATTATTCTGGATAACATTTTGAATGAAAATCATTTGTTTTCATGCAATTTTATTTTCATAAGCATAAAATTAAACCATAAAAGTGAAATAGCTCTGGGAAACCCTGTGAACACTGACCAATAACCCATAAGTTTTACCAGCACCTCACTGATAATGAGAAAGGCTTAAGTTTGAAATATTCAATCTTTCAATATTGCTCTTCGTTGAGACGGAGTAGTTTCAGCTAAAAGTGCCAGCATATGATAATTTTTCTTTACGTTCTTCATTTTATCGATAAGTATATCCAAAAAATACCTTATTCATCCAGAAAACACAAATCTCGCTCTGAAAGTTTCTTGTCTGTTTTTGGGTGAAAATCCAATAACAAATAACCAAAATCCTTTTCCGTGGCTTTTTTATACGCATCCATAAAAAAATTACATTTTTCTGCGAAAGCTTACCATCCTAAACAACTTACTTGACTTTCATCACGATTATTTTTAAACAAAATCAAATAATGAGTATTTAAAGTTATATCTCTCATAATTTTATTTTTCGGAAACAAGTTTTGCATTATCAGGATCATGCTTACATTATAATGGTGAGACTCTGTAGTAAAGAGGAATGCAGTTTTTGAGCTGAATTCTTGCATCAAATCATCAATTATTACTAAATCCCATCCTTGCACGGGTTCAGGTAAACCATACACAAATGTAATATCTTTTTCGTCACGACAAAATGGCAAATATACAGAATAACACCATAAAATTTTTTTAATGATTTTTCATAAATTTTAAATAGTGAATAATTTTTTTTACCAGCGTGGTCTTTTCACATTGCAATGGCCCAGCAATTATACAGTTACTCAGATGCTTGAAATACATATCAGTCAATCTTATGAACTTTAGTAAATTTATAATGCTTTGATCCACAATTTATCTTTCTAAATATTAATATATTCTTCTTGTTCTTTTCAACATAAACTTCGTTCATAACATCTGAACATTCCTCGAAGGAATAATATAATTTATTACTCACTTCGTTAATTCTTCCATCCTCGTCAACAATTACAAACCCAAACTTTCCATCTCCTTTCCAAATTTCTCCGTTAACTTTAAAATAACGCAAAACAATTGGAAAATTATCAGGAATATTGAAAGAAAAATTATTTACAGCAGCAATACAGCTATCCAAAATACAAATGATTAGGTACATGTACAAATGATTAGAAACAGAATAATTTCTGTCTGTGTCGTAAGTAATAAAACTGTATGCTTCCATAACTGATTCTGTCTTTAAAATAAATTCTAACATATATTAAAATTTAATTTATATGAAAATACCATCCAATCACATTTCTTATATAATTAATTGCGAAAGATAAGTATTTGTAATCTAAAAAAATTTAGTCTGCATTTTAAAAATTATGTATATAAATTAATTTTGTGATTAGTATGTGTCAAACATATACTACTAATATTTCAGTAATTGTTTTATAGAAAATCTTGAAATTTTTTACACTACCTAAGAAAACAATTATCTTTTAAATGAGATATTCAGAAGTAATTTAAGTGTTCAGGGCAGAGAAATCAACCCCTGAAAATTGGCAACTTTGACTCCTGTATATATAGTCAGTCAGTGACCTTTTTACTTGGTGGGGAGTCACTGCCATGATTCAGTTAATAAATACAGTTGAAGACAAACAGAAAAATATGTCTCTTAAGTTCTTTCAAACATATATACAGGATCATGTAAAAATATAATGTACTATTACCTTTATTTGAGGCTAAGTTCCATGAAAAAAATGTCAAATGTTAAAAGTTTCATCAGAGATCTTTTTAAGTTTTTTAATTCTATTTTTTACTATGATCAACCTCTGGTATATACCATTTAAGATCCATATATTGGTATTCTGTAAATTAAAGTAGGCCACCTGCTTTTTATTACTTTAACAAATCTATTTTTGTCATCGTCAGGTGAATAAAAATGTTTAAAATCCTTTTTTGAACAAAGTTTTTGAATTAAAACTAACGGCATTGGTCCTTTGGAACAAAACTAAATTTGGAACAACTAAACGTAAAGAATTTAAAATGACATGCGCGTGGTGACAATGTGCATGCGCTATAATTCGCTTTAATTTTTATTTTGAAAACTTTGTTCGAAAAAGGATTTTAAACATTTTTATTTGCCTGATGATGATGGAAATAGATTCGTTGAAAGCGCTAGCAATTATAGCGATATTATATGTAATTTAATGCCTGTATGATAATTTTTTCTTTTCTTGTTTATCCAAAGAGCAGCATGAAATCCAACCCTCGAATTCAATTTACTTTAAAGCTAAACCTACAATTTGTAGCTTTAAAGATATGATATTTTTAGCTAAATCTGACAATATTTTGGTAAAACAACTGGCAACATTTATTATCATTTATCTCATTTTTATATAATAGAGAAATAATAAATTCTAGTTGATTTCAAAACAAAATTCTTTCTTTATCCAACCAGCCTACATTGGAAAGATTAAAGATTATCTACTTAAAATGAAACTCTAAATTTTCTCCTTATTTTATCCAAAATGGTATTGATTTAAGTTTTGTTCTTGCTTCCTCTGTCTGTTTTTTGGATAATGTCAGCTTTATCTGCTTGTGATTTCGTTAAAGCATGCTTTTTATGGATAAAGTTCAAAATTAATAGATTATTACTTGCTTTAACCAAAAAGCTTGGCTAAAACTTGAATTAGCTGGTTAATCCTAACTTTATTTGTCACAGACTTATATATATATAAATAAAAAATACATATAAATAAAAAATTAACATATCCATATTATATTACTATACTTGAACAAATCCATGAATTTATCACCATAAACCAAAAAACACTCTTGAAATTATTTATTTACAGCAGTAGTTAATACAAGATGCAGTGCCTCACAATTAAAAATGTAAAAAGTTATCATTGAAAAAATACTGTCTTACATGGATACTTTATACATGGCACCTTATTAATTATTAGTTTTCTCAAAAACTTTCTAAATTCAATTAATTTTCTCTTTCACTTTTTCTTCATGATTTTTAGTATTAATTCTAAATACAGGATACCACTAATCTTTCTATCACTTAGGGAGAGGAGAATAGAGAGTTTTATTGCCACTCTTATCATATGATATGTCAGTTAACTGCAGTGCAAATGATTATTGTTTAATGTGCTTATGAAAATTATTGAAGTTTTGGGTTGAAAGGAAGTGTTAAAGGTGCAAAAACCAAACTAATTTGAAATGCAAAACAAAGCTTGCATATGAAAAACATGATGCCAAAATTGGGATCCAATCTGTTATTGCAATGTAAGTGATACTGCATTCCGTTGGGCTATGTTATATCAAGTCCCAAGTGTAATTATTTTTTCTTTTCTTACAGTAAGATCATGGAAATTATTGAATTAAATATCTGTGACTTTGGCTTTGACACTTTTGAAAGACATTGTTGTCTTTTATGGAATGTGAGTATATCAATGGTTCAAAAGAGTTCAGTGGAACAATTATTAAACACTTCTGTCAAGTAATTGCTAAAGATCACTGTCATATTGTATATTGGCTCAATACATGTAAATGAATTTTACTTGGACAATGCTGCTTTTTGATTCAATTGTGTTAAAGATATTATGTAATATAAATATGCTTCCTAGAATTTTTGCTACTACTCAGTTTTATTAAAAATATTTTTTTTTTTCAAAATGTAATATCTGATATTCTTTAGATATATTTTTAAATGAATGTTAAAATCTTCAGTATGTTATATTTTTTGCTAATGACTGTTTTATTTCTTACAATATTCAGACTTTCCTGAATATTGTGGAGAAAGTAAAGATAATAGACATTTGAAATGTAATTAAATTAACAAATTCATGTTAAGGAAATAATTTTTTATTGGAAAATTAAAAACAAATATTTATTAAAATTATGTAATAAAAACCTTAGGTTGTTATACTTTCTACATTATATTTTCATTGCAAACATAATATAAATAGAATAGGAATTCATCACATTAATTCTAATTTTTTTTAATTCTTATATCATAGTTCTCTGCTAATGAGTCATATTTTATTTAGATTTTAATAATGACTGCATGATTACATGAGTTGTCATTAAATCTTTATGTTATATAGGCTATTGAATTTCTTTTTTTAATATAACTTATTAATGGGATTTATTTCTTATCCTCAATAAAAAGATATACTGTAATATCTTTTATAAATTAATTATGAACTCTCAGAATTTATACATATGTACATATTAATTAATTTAAAGAGTTCATACACAAATGTTTTTAATATTACATATAAAATATTTAACATCAATTTAGCAGTGAATCATAACATTTTGAAAATTTGAAAATTTAAATATTCAATTGCAAGTAATTTGTTTCTAATCAGTATTTTTAATTTGACATTTTAGTATTCGAGCACTTTATAGTCAAGATGATTTACATAATGCTGTACATGGTAGTGACAGCATAACTAGTGCTGAACGAGAAATTCATTTCTTTTTTCCAGGAAGTAAGTTTTATCTTATGAAATTTTTTTTATTATTTTTTAATTAATTGCACAATTGTTTATCATTATAAAATTTCAAGCAAAAATGTTTTTAAATCTTTTAATATATAAATCTTGTATAGCATCTCTTATAACAGTACTGTACCCCTTTATAAAACATTACTTATAAACAGATTTTTTCTGTGAATATTAAACAGAGAATCCTTCAGCATTTACAATTATTAAATGTATGATTTTGCATTGCAAATGGCATTATCATCATCAAATCATGTGACTTTTAAATTGAAACTATAAACTTCAATTTTACTTCTTGGTATAATTCTTATCATATGAAATACTTCAGTTTAGCACCATACTTAATTTAGTGCCAATTTCCAAATTAAATAAATGTTGCTAAATCAAGGGTGACTGTATATCATTAGATTAATGCAAAAAATTACAAATATAAATTTAAAAGAAAATAGATTCATTTCACAGTTGAACAGAAATTGAATTTTTAATTTTGTCTATTTAATTATTTTGTAATTGTGTACTTACCATACTAAAAAGTCATGAAAAGTATATCATCATGTCTTTATCTTATCTATATATTAATTGAAAGAGGATTTCAGTTTTCCAATTTAGTTTGAGTAAAGAAGGTTTGGGTATCAAATTCAAGCTCTTACATTGTAATTGAAGTTGCTGAAGAAAGATATGAGAAAAGTGCAATGGTTTGGGTGTGACAGAGTAGCAAAGATACAGTGTTAAGTCTACTGGAAGGCAAGTGACAAATGCATTGAGCACTCGACACCAATTAGCGATTTAGATTTTCTTACTGTTTGAACAACCTGTTGCTCACCACTACTATGAATTCCTGCTTTGTTTGCTAATTACATGTTAATTAAAAGCATTATTTTGCATTATTTTTTCAATAAATTAATTTTGTCAATATCAACCACAGTGCCATCTATCAACTATTAGTACCAGTATCTGTTTTTATTTTACTATACTTCATGACAAGACCAAAACATGATTCTAACCATTCAGTTTATTTAAAGCTAATCGATGGCTTTCTTGACAACTAAAAGAATAATAATCTCAAATGTATGATTGTCAGTAGGTTAAGAGTTTTATAACAGCCAATGAGATTGTTATAAGGCAATCCAATACTATCTTTGCCCTTAATCTGAAACCCAGCTGGTCAAAGTCAGTTGGCCTTAGGAATGCTGAATTACCATCCTGGACCTGTAAGCAAAATTGAAAGAAGCCATTTGGAGGAGCCTGGTGGTTCCAGAGAATCACCCACAAATGGCCCAGAAAACACTTTCCATACTGATGGTTTCTGTGTAGAATGTCAAATTTTAAATGAGTTTGTTGTTTAGTCAGTTTAGAATACTTTCTTTGAACTTACAAAAGTAACTGAAAAACATTTATGTTAAAATAATTTAAATTGAAAATTTACATAATTTACTAAAATTAGATTAAACGCATTTGCACAAGCGTTCTCATTTTATATGAAGATAATTTTATAATTTTAGAGCAGCATTAATTATTTTGAAATAATTAAATTAAAATTAAAACTGTTTTTAATTTTATTGATAACAGTAACTAATTGTTTGTTTATATTGTAGCTGTCATTGATTCAGTTCTTAATACAGCATCTGCTCATGAATATTTGGCAAAATCTGTGAATCCAACATTGTTGAAGGGACTGGTGTTGCTCTGCAAAAATAAACCAGAAAATCCAATTGTAAGTATGTAGAGAATTTGCAATAAAAAGTATTTTATGCAATTCATTGTAGGTTTGCCACTAATTTCCTGGCATACTTGGTTCTAAAACCATGCCAGAGTAACAGTTTTGCTGGACTAATCAAGATTATGTAATAATAACTTAACAGTATATGCTGGATCACTAATTATATGACTGCCATGTCTCTAAACTACTATAGATTACTAGAAACTTAAAATCTATTAAATTGAACCAGTTTGATATAGAAGCCATGGCTTTGCTTAAATATAAGTGAAAATCAAACAGAATGGAGTGATCATCAACTGCAATGTAGATAATCAAAATAAATGCATACTATACACAATACCACCTGTGGCCATTTAGTAAGCTAGTCTGGCAGTTTTGAGAATTTTGAGTGCTCTCTCATATTTCTTTCTAGATTAAAAGAGATGCCAGAACATATGGTGTTAGAAAATTATGATGAACTTGTTTTAATAAAGAGTACTACTAGTTAACTATATAAATTCCTAGTTGACTATTTTAAAGAAAAAATTGTAGCTAAAGTATCATACAATGAATTATGTCTTTCATACTAAGAAAACTGTAACTGCTGCTGGTGTTCTGTTTAAATAAAAATCAAGAAAATACACTTTTTAAATTAAGAATAATCGTTTTGATATTAAATGGGGCCCTTTAAGGAAAAAAGGGCAAACCTCACTTAGTAGTGGCAAAATATAAATGTGCATAACATTGAAAGGGTTAAATACACTGAACTGAAATTACAATAGAATAATGATAGTCATGTATGCTATCAATAATCAAGAAATTAAAATCCAATTATTCCCACTCAAAATGTTTAGTAAAATATTTTTGGATTTTTTTTTTTCTCAACTGGTGGCTACACAAGTGTCCAAAATTTGTACAGATGCCATTTGGAGTTTGAACAAATGTTTTTGCAAAATTTAGTTGAATTTTAAGATGAGACCAGAATTTATATAGGAAAATGGTAGTACCTGATGATACAGTAATCTGTGAGAAGTACAATTATTACAAATTTCAGAGGAAATCATCATATATAAAAAATTAGAAAAAAATGTTTTTAAGAAGTCAAGACTAATTTGCCAACTTGTAAAATATATTTTTGGATAATAATTTGATTTTAATAGTAAATATCTGAAGGTATTTTTTACACAGTCAAACCTCAGTTTACGATCTTAATTCATTCCTAAAAGTTGTCCAGAAACCAATTTGTTCTAAAACTGAAACAAATTTTCCCATAAGAAACAATGTAAAATGGATTAATCCATTCCCAACCCCCAAAACAAAGCCTTTTTTACTTTTTCAGCAGAATTTCACACATAAAAATGCCTACAAATGCAATATAATATTATATTATCCATATTTGTTTTATATGTATATTGAAAACAAAATGTTCCATTACCGCCAACCAAAATCAAAACTATCACTTTACCAAAAAGTTCTATAAATAGAGACTCGACTCTGCCTGGATGAAATATAAGCAGATCAATCAAGACAGACAAGTACTTTATCCACACTTTCTGAAATATTATGTTTCAGTTGCCTTGATTTAAATTTTAATTTAAATAAATTAATTAATTTTGATTTGGTGTAAAAACCAGAGTTTTAATTATTATTTATTATTATTAGTTTTAATTAACTGGCTACCTAGTATTAATAAATATTAAATTAAATATTAATATTATAATATATAATATTATACTATTAAATTTTTGTTATTTAATTTGAGTTAAGCACCTTCAAACATAGATTTATTGATGTCATTTATATTATACGAGTGTCAATTTATTAATTAATTTGATTGAAATTCAATTGTGATGTATACCAAAAAACAGAAGTAGTATCTTATCCACATATGCATTGAAATCTAATTTGAATAACAATGTCATTGATGGTTTGTGTCGTGACATCTAATGACCTGAGGTGATCTCAGCACCACTAACTTCTGTATCAGTAGTCTCATCATTGATTAATCAGGCTGTCAACTTCCTTTAACACACAAAGTATATGGAGTTAACTGTCTTTATATCTCTAATTGTGACTGACTCTTGTTAAGTAGCTTGTTCAGCAGCCAAGTTATTGTACAGCAACTGGGGCAAATATGGCATTCAAAATTTTGTCTGTAAACCAAATTGTTCGAAAGTGAAGCATTCAAAACCCAAAGTTTGACTGTATATTAATTAGTTAATTCATTCTTTTAAAATTCTTATATAGTATATTCAAGGTCTTATTTTTAAGATTTAATTACACAATAGTTATTTATATTTTTTTAGAAAGGTTTATTTCAAATTATTTATTTTTAGATAAAAATTTGTTAATTTTTAGAAAGCATTTTCAATCACATATTTTCAACGATGTTCTTGCTGTTTTTTTTCTTTTCTGTTTTTTTTTAATAATTTTCTTTTAATACAGTATTAAGTTTTGTGATATACTGATGCATGGCTTAGTAGAAATTGTATAATTTTTTTTTTCTGAACAGATTTTAATCTGAAGGGATATGGATTCTATAATACAGTAAGACCCCGCTTAAAGCTGATTCAATATAACGCAGTGTGCTTAGCACCTAAAAAAACACTTAAAATTTATGCTGATCCAAAATAATGTGGCATTTCATTGATTTGTATATAATACAATTATTCCCAAACACGAACCAATCAGCAAAAGGTGGCAATTCATTGTAGCACGGTATTTCCTTTAAATCCATGTTTGTTTTGTGCAATTTTGGAAAAAATATAACATCATGGATGCCATAGGAAATAGCGACTTGGCTTGGCAAGAATTAACTGATAAATGCCTGAATGGAGTGTGGAAGAAGTTATGGCTGAAGGTATCCAAGAATTCTCATCAAGAAGAGCATATCACTGTATCATTAGATTGACAAAATTGTCAACTTAATCTATACAGATGTAGATGAGCAGGATATTGGGAAGTTACTTCAGGTTTCTGGTAAGAGCCTTACCAACGATGACTTCAAGAACTTGCAGAACAAGGATTTCATGTAGAACTGGAAAACAAAGATTCTGAAAACGAAGAACCCAAAGAAATTGCTACAGATTTCTTTAGTAAAAGTTTGGTAACGATAACCGAAATTGTTGATCAAATTGTAGTGAATGATCTAGATTTTGAAAGGAGTGTAAAAGCAAAACGAGGCGTTTGGATGCGATCTTCTGTTACTGATATTTGCTTAAGAAGAGAAAAAGTGACAAATGAAACTTCATGACTTTATTGCAAAAAAGATTTTCAGAAAAGTCATTACCTTTGTCAGAAAAAATGAACTAATTAATATATTATTATACATTTCTGTGTTCATTTGTCTATATGTTATTTAACATATATTATTATACAAATTAATATAAAAATAACTTAAAATTAAAGTAAATTTTTTAAAAATTTTCGGTCGTTGTTCCCCTATCCCTATTTACTTCACTTAGCGCTTTGTTGTCTAGGAACGCATCCCCATGTTAAGCAAGGTCTTACTGTATAAATATTTAAAAATTTTTCTTTTATGTGTAATATTAAAATTTCTAAAAACTCTAATCCAAAGAACAAAGATGTAAAATTTGTTACAATTTCATGATGAACTCAGGATATTTTTTTTCTAATTATCAATTAGAGATTCAGACTATGTACATTAAAAATTAATTAAAAATTAATTATATAATTTTTTGTACATAGTCTGAATCTCTAATTGATAATTAGATGTAAAATTTTCTTTTATGCATTTTATCTAATAGAATTATTAAATTTATAATTATAAAAGAGATTTATTTAGAATACCACTAAATTAATTTTTTATTATAAATTTAAGTTGATAATGCATAACTTTGTTTAATCAAAACTGTGTATATTTGTTCATTTTAATTTAAATATCTGTATATTTTTTTTTCTTTCAGATATGGTTGGCTGACTGGTTACTTGCTAATAACCCATATAATCCACAAGCAGTGTAAAGTTGCCATGTTACTTTCACTATTCACAACTTGTCAGTATTAAATGCACACTACCTCACACATTTATAAAATTGTTATCATTCATGACAAATCAATATTTATTGAATAAAAAATACACTGGAGCATTTTCACACATACTGTTATATTTATATTGTTATACATATATATATATATAATGAAATTTTATAAATTATTAATGTTTTGTTATAATATGGTAAATTACAAAAACCTTTGAAATGTTACATTTTCATTTTTTCAATTTTGTAATTTTAGAAAGTGATATAACTCTTTACCAAAATCTAATTATTGTTATTATATTTAAAAGTGTTTTGAATATTAAAACATACAAATGGAACATAAATTAGCAGTATTAAAATTTCAAACATTATTTGTTACACTTTTATTACTCACTTTCTATCAATGATAGTAGCTGATCTTATACATATATATTGTATTTACTATTTATAATCTTGTTAAATGCTTCATCATTATGCAAACTTTGACATTTATGAACAATTTCACTATCCATTTGATTTATGTTTTAAAAAAATATTTATATATAAAACAAATGGAAAATAAAATTTTAAAGAAACAAGTTTGTTATTTAAATAAAAATACACATTTTTCCTGATTATTTATTTTTTAAAATTATATATCTTGACAGTTTGATGACTGGAGCATTAAAAGTGCTGTGGAGGACCTGGATGTGAGTCCTGGTCTTTGAGACTTATGAAAATTTTAGGGATGGTCTATCCCGAATATATCAGCTTTCATCCCTCATCACTCAGCCACCTCCATTGTGGGCCTGGCCAAACTGTTATTCACCTGGAATAAAAGCTCTTGTAGTTCATATGAGAAATAACTACAATATAAAAAAGAAATTGTTTTATATGAAGACCTGTTATAGATACTGTGACACATTAGGAGAAAATATTATGAGAAAAATTGCACATTTTTCATATTTGTAATTTTGTGATATGTTTGATTGTAAATGTGATTATATTAAGTACAAATAAAATATGTTTAAATAATATAATATTTTGCAATGACAAAAACTGATGCAAGTAAGTGAGTAACTGGTGAGCAAGATGATCTAAGGGGTGAATATGATAAAGGTACAATATACAGGGTGTATCAGAATGACGTTTTAAAAATTTGGGGGATTGTAGAGGATGAAATTTTGAACATTTTGATATAAGGAACCTATAGCCATAAATTTGAACTAAAATATCTACAGTGGTAGGAAGTTGTTGACTGCCCTTCCTTTGGAGCTACCCTTCTGTCCATTGACGTCATATTATTGCTGTGGATGGAAGACTGTAAACACACAACTACAGTTGTCTAACTGAGCCTGTGTACAGGACGTTGTGTACTTAGTGCTTGCCGTCCTTCAGGTCACCCCTTTCATCCACTGGTGCTGTGCTGTAAACACACAACTAGTCAACATGAGTCCCTTGTGTATGCAACACCTTAGGAACAGTTCATGAGCTTACGGAGCACATCTTTACAGCATTTAATACCATCAGAAGGGAGCGTGGCATCTTACAGAGGGTCGGACAAAACATGGTTCGTTGTTGCACATTATGTAACGAAGTTGGTGGTCGTCACATTGAACATTTACTCTAAAGTAGTGCAGCCACTGATTCAATGTACAGTTTGATTGTACTCTACTGTTTTGTCAATAAAACTTGTCATAAATACTGTATTCTGCTGTTTCATTCAGCATACCGACGGCATAGAATGTGCAAAGTGTTGTAGAAACTTTATATGACATTTCTGGCTATAGGTTCCTTATATCAAAAATGTTCAAAATTTTATCCTCTACAATCCTACAAATTTTTAAAACATCATTCTGATACACCCTGGAAACTAAAGAAAAAATTGATTAATGATTTTCATTTCCAGCATGTTATAAGGATCAATAATTCTTCTTTCATTGTTATGACGAATTTTTAATATGAAATGCGTTTACATTTATTGTAGTTTTCTGGTTTCTGTATTTTGAGATCTCTCAACACAGTCTCAAAACACAAAATATTTTAAATCTAATTCAAACAACTTTAGTGTATTATAAATGCTTAATTTTATGGTGTGCGCTTTTGCTGTAAATTGACTTTTAGAAAGTTTTACTAGCATAAAGTAAGTAATCAATGTCACAAATTTAGCAACTTCCATTATATTTTGAAATAAACAAATGCTAACTCCATATTGATATTTTCAGGTTTGTTTTATAATGAAAAATTTGTGTATAAAGGAGTGCACGTTGGCTGCGAAAAATTTCGCATGTAAATGTGGAAATGTAAATTTTCAAAATTAACACATTCACTGGCATATAAGAAAAAGTTAATTATTAATGAAATGATCGAAATTTTGTCATTATTAGATATTATGCCCAACATTCCTCATAAGTAGGTAGGAGACTCTTGATGTTTATACTAATCTACATATTTAAATATTGATCATATGACTTGTGGGAATTTGAGTAAAGCATGTTATTTAGACATCTTTCTGAACATAAATGTCTTACATCTGAATCAAAGAGATTTAGTAGTGAAAGCTGATTATTATTGCAGAATGTGCTAAGCATGAGAGTTAAATATTGAAGATATAATTCTTTATATTATTAAAGATTCTGTATATGTCTAAGATATATATTGTGCACAAATTTTTAATTTTAATAATGTCATTTAATTTTTTTAAGTCTGCTTTGAGAAGGCCTGAAAAATAGCAAGTTGCCTATGCCTTTCACTTTGTATTGAGTGTGTTTTTTTTTTTTAATACATTTTAACAGAAAAAGGATTTCTTGAATGAATCATTAAATTTGTATTCAGTTGTTTCGTAATATTTTAAGCCGTTTCCTTAATTTCCGGTAACTTTTTTAAACAAACCTGTAAGTGAATCTATTGATATTTTTCAGTTTTTGTTATTAGTTTCTGTTTTTAGGTAATGTGAGACCTTCGCCATTTTAATTGTTGAAAATTAATTAACAACGACACTGTTTCCATTTTATGGCATCATTAATAAAACTCTGTTAATGGTTAAAGTAAAGCATACGATCAGAAACAAAAAAGTTAAAATATTTCAATTTTGCTTTCAATTGAGTTTCTGTCAAATTGAAAACAAAAACTGGATTAACTTCATTTTCAGTTTGTTATATTTTCAGATAATGTGGAACTCAGACCTAAAGCATTTCCAGTTATCACAGCTAAATTTATTGTGTTGCAATTAGTTATGATTAGACCTTTCTTTGTATTGATAGACCCTGCAGACACTAAGGTTTGGAGTGGATTGATGAAATAAGGTTATGCAATTCAAGGGCAATCTGCCAAAGGGGATGCCCCTCCCGAGAGGACTTTCTATGGAAAATTGGCCCCCCTACTGAGATGTTAGATACATAAAGAAAACCTAGAAAACACCACATGACCAGTCTGGTAAAGGTGGACCCCGCGACCAACCACCATTGTTTAATTAATGGTTTTATCCACTTGGCCACTGATAGGCAGCACGAAGAAATTCTTTTAATCATAGTGCCGGCCACAATAAGAGAGGCTAGATAGTAAGGTCCCAACATATCCGGGTAAATCATAATATCAATGATAAATTATGTGTAAGTTCGCTGACCTGGTGGATATTGAGGACTTGAAATCCCGCTTCACCGACACCAGTGTAACTTTGGGCTAAAAATCCCACTTCTCGTACCAATGTAAGTTTTCCGACACTTGAGGGATTGTTAATCCCGCGTCAGGACGATCTAGGGTCGTTCGCTTGTGGGTGTGGAGGAGGAGACAGAGATGACGAGTATCTTACAAAAACCCGTTTATTTTAGCATAAAAATAAATTTACACAAAGAAACAAATATTTTTTAGACACAATCGGCTGGTTGGAAGTCGATAGCGACGATGCTCTTTTAGTTTGTTGTATAGGTGGCTCCGGGGCAGTGTTGTTAAACAGTTCGTGAGACTCCGTTGGTCGGCGATGGCACGGCTCGGTATCGGCACGAAGACGGAAAGATTCGTCCCCAGTGTGTTGACACAGCGCTTCCGATTTTCACTCCTTTGTGTTAACTCGCCGAGTGCGTCTTGCTGAGTGCCTCTTGTCCTTCACGATCGGGGATTACATCAATCTCCGATCTCCCTTTTCTGTCCATCCTGATTGGTTCCACGTTTGTCCCCAAGCGAAAGACGAGACCCGTTCGGGTCCCGAGAAGGTTCGCTTCGGGGAATTTACCCGACGCCATCCGTTAACTCTGGAGGGAAGGTGTAGATGGGACTTTGAACTTGCGCTCATTTTATCCCATTGTTGTTTATCACGTCTTAGAATTTTAACGACATAACGCGATGTCCCCTTTTATAACTAACCTTTCCCCTCTTCGAGATTTTCTATGTTCTAATTATTTGTATACGAGCGCTTTGTCAAAGGTCCATCTCTACTGGAGGATGCTCGTTTACATTTATTGCGTGATGTCTTACATTAATAGTATTTTTTTCTCGTCTCGGTTTCATATGACTAGAACAACTGAATCCGATCTTTGATCGGTTTTAACAATGGAGGTTTTTTCCCTCTAGTTTTGTTTTAATAAATTTCTAAATTTGTTTAATTTCAACCCGTTTTTTGTGGGACCTCACATATGTGTCCAGTTTGAACCCGGAACCCGGCTTACAGAAATAATCAAAAATATTATTATCCACATAAATAAATATATTGCTTTGTAAATAGCAATTAATTTGTAAATTCTAAGTACAGTATTAATACTTTCTTTCCTAAGTTTAACGTTGCAGCTTGCAAGAAATAGACTTAATTTCTATGAATTGGCATATGATGTTCATTGTTATTTATTCGGTGGGGTGTTCTTTGAGTTTACTTAATATCATATTGAATCTTTTCTAATTTTTTAAGAGTGGCCGATGAATAAAACCATTGACCACTGGTTATTTGTCGTGGGTTCGCGCCTCACCAACGGAAAACTCTACGTGACCAACCCAGCACGTGGAATTTTTTGTTTTCTTCATGTTTGTAACACCTAAATAGGTGCCAGTTTCCCACAGAAAGTCCTTCCGGGAAGCATCCCTCCCTCCGCAGATCGTCCACGTGTCGTGTTACCATAAGCAAAGAAAACCAATTTAATCTTTTAAGATTTTCAATTATAAAAAATTATTGCTGCTTTCCTGTTAGAAAAAAAAATATGCTTGTCAAGGCAGTCGACGTGTTAAGTCGTTAAAGATTTTCGGACATCAAGATCGGCCCGATCCCATTTGATCGGATAAACGGCGGATCGCATATGGGAGGAATTAAAACAATATAAAACAATTTTGATGGCAGGAAAAGTCAGTTTAGTAAGGAGAAAGAAGTATCGTGTCATAAATCAAATGTAAATGAATTATTCATAATTCCATCAGGAAATATCGGTGTATTCGATGCAATACTGAAGTATTTATTTAGTAATAAATATGCAGCTTATCTTTTATCGAATGCTAATTGTAGCTGGTATAAATGTTTAGATTATTCGCATTCAAAATGTAAAATACCTTAAATAAATAAGATTTTCTCATAAACTTTTAAGGAATGAATGACAATTCACCTTGAAATGATTGCTACGAGCCCATAGTTTATGTATCGTAGAAAACGTTATTGATTTTACTGCAATATTTTTACTAAAACGATACGAACGTGTAAAAAAATTAGAAAATCTTTCAAGAAATATATTTTAATTTATACATGTGAAATAAATGGATAGAATTACCATTATATCCCTCGATGAGAATGTATCCCTGAAGACAAAATACAGAAATTTAATAAATGTAACATTCAATGCTTTACTGGATGAAATATAAATTTTAAAACAATCGAATTCATTTACAAAATGTTAAAAAATTTTTACATTTTACTTCAAATTAATTAACTAAATTCACTCTTCATCAGAAATGCAATTTTTTTTATTTCAGTTTATTTTAAAATCATTTATAAACTGTAATTTTTAGTCTAATCTTAAATATGAAATTATCTGTTTTCGAATTTCATATAATTAATCAATTTGATGTTTTAATGTACTGTATATAAAAATAGTTTCTTTTGTTTAATTAATTTCTTAGAAAAGGAGATTATCCACGAATCACGTGAGTTGAACAGTAACCTACCTCTAACTGGTGTTTTCCTCTTGGATTTTAATTTGCAATTTGTTATTGCAACACATAAATTTTCTCTTTTTTTTAATACTTTTTTTTATAATGATAACTGTTTTATTTTTAGCTTTATATTATTACGATCTTTTCCTCGTCACTATATTGTTTGATAATGCATATTAGTGTTTATAATAACTTCAAAAATTGCCATTTATATACAGTGAGATTGTGATTTAGGCGTGAGTTACGATTCCTGGAGTACGTGTAAACGAAGATTCGCGCAAATTAACACTAATTATCATAGAAATTGGAGAGATACGTTTGACAAACTCGTATATTCGTTAAATATATCCCCGAAACGTCAGGAATGTCACGAATAGTTTAACACGGAGATTTTGGTCCCGTCTCTCATCACCAGCTGCTTACATTGTAGGATTGATCAAACACCATGGGCATGAGAAAGGTCCTATCAGTATAAGGGATAAGACAGCGTTGGAATACCCGTCCATGGACTTCTTAGAGGCCTCATGTTACTGATCATTAAGACGATATGTAGGTTATATACAGAAATATATACGTACCCGTAAAATATCTCTAAAGTAATTGGGTAGGGCCTCGTAAAATTGCTTAAAATGGCCCTGAAAAAGGATGAGTTGTAATGGGATGGCCGAGGCTGCCTAGAGATCTGGGAGAGCCGGGCGATCGAAAAACCCCAGGAATTTTTCACGGGTGGTCTGATTAATATGTCGGGCCCCCGTCACCCACCACTCAGTCGCTCGATTGTGACCTGGCCAAACTCACAACGGACCTGATAAAAGGTCCTCTTAATGTACACAGAATAGAAAGGGTAAAAAAAGCACATTATTTCAAAATCGCTTTAAAAAAAAAACTTTATTATTTATGTTTTAATAAGTTAATATACCCTACACCATAATGCTAATCGCTCTGATATCCATTTTGCCGAATTGTTAGACCTATATTGTATTTTAAAGAAGCAATGAGTTTTTTAAACGTACAAAAATTATAAACACGAACTGCGATAATGACTATATTATATATTTCATTTATATATTATTAATAAATTTATTTATTGATTTCATTTGAAATAAATCAATTACTGTATTTGTCAGTAATATAAACTCTCAACAGATGACGCCACTATTGGATAATATTACGAATTTCTGACGTTAAACGGTTATTTAAAATTTCTAGTTAAATAATAAAAAAAGACAGAATGTTATTTACATTAAAATAATGACGAATAAACTAGAAGATTTGGAATAAAAAAGAATCAAGATTGGTTCAAGCAATATAACGTACAGTAAAAAAAAAAAGCTATGCAATCCTATACGATTGTTAGTAGTGATAAGTTTTTTCTAAGAAGAAATCCTGCCCGAAAAACATATTTTCATTTCAGGTTTTAGCCAAGTTAATATAGAAAATCGTTTCCCTTCATTAATGGCAGGTGCTGTGTATTGACAACATCACCTGCCATCATCGCTTATCGGTTCAGTTGCTTTGTAACAGTGTTTATGATCGTAAACTTCGCTCATGGGGCCCGAAAATGTTAGGACATAAGTTCTCGGTTACCTACTTACCTATACTAAGGACAGTCGAACAATCAATCTATAAAAAATTGTAAAGATTTCGAACTTAATTAATTACAGAAAATTCTCTTTTACGCAAATAAGTAAATGAATGAATTCAAATACTATACCAGTCGACCCCCCTATAACGCTGTTGATAATTCCGTTTTATATGAATTCCATGTTGTACGAGTCACTTAGATTTTACAAATACGTGTGCCGGCCTGCGAACGCCTCACAGATTTGTAAAATCTAAGTGACTCGTACAACATGGAATTCGTATAAAACGGAATTATCAACAGTGTTATAGGGGGGTCGACTGTATTTAAAATAAGTTGCATGAAATATATAAAAGTTATTGTAAATGTAATGAAGTTCTTCGTCATTTGTGTGTTTTTATTCTTAATTTTTTTTTTACCTGTTAATTCCTTCCTCCTACGGATTTTCAAATTTAAATATATTAATACAATTTACATATATTAAATTAATACATTTAAATTTAAAAATCCATCGTCAACAGTCCTAAATAGGGTTATTGACGATGAGATTTTATTAGTATTTTTACATTGATTAAATAGAACCGTTGACGAATTATTTAAATCGAATGTAAAAGGCGAAATTTTTTTAAATTTTGAGGTATTTATTTATTATTCGAGGACTAATTTTATATTATTTTAACTAATATAAATCTATTTATAAGCTGTCATAGACCCGTTTAGTTAACATTTTAAATTTGACTAATTAGCTGATTATTTAATTAAAAGTTAATATTCTTTATCCGTTTACAACTAAATCAGAAATAGTTTCATTCAAATTTACAGACCTAAAATATAACGTATTCATCCTGCTTGACCTGATACTTATCATTCAGACGGTTGAATGTCTGCTTAGGAAGTTGACTCACAGGCTAATAAGCTCTTTCATTTTGCCGTTAGTCGCCATTCTCTTCTACAATTGTTAAGAAGTTCGTCGTAGTCATGAACGAATTATACATATATGGTAGTAATAAATATAATGACAAATGTCTAGAAAATCTATCAGAAGCGAATAGAGACTAACGGCAAAGCGTAAGTGCATATTACTGTAACCTGTGAGACAACTTCCTAAGGAGACATTGAACGGTCTGTATGGTGCATAATAAGTATCGAGCAGGTGTAATCGCTGACTTTTTGAGTTTATAACTCTCCTACGTTGCTACTTGTAATAAAATTTCCATCTAATTTTGATCTAGACAGACGAGTAATATCTGAAAAAGTGCTCGTTAGGTAACTTTGGAAATAAATCGTAAACATCCTAGCTTATATTTATCTCAGTTTTGCGATGATATTATTCTAAATTTTAGTTTTTAAATTATAAGTAATCTTCTGTAAAGTTCGTAAGCATAAAATTACAAGTATTTAGCCTAAAAAAACACTCGGTTAAATTACTCTTCAACATCTTTTAGCCTTCAATCTTAACATCCTTCGTTTAGAAAATTACTAATTTACATATCTTTTGCGTATTTTATACGATAGAAACAAATAAAAATTTGGTTTAAAGCGTATTGAAAATTAAATAATATGAAAATAGAATAATTAATTATTATTTTTTAATTTATCTTTTACGATATTTAATACGTTAACATATTTGGAGAATAGAATAAGCACAAAATATCTAAATCCATTAGGTTATAGTTATAGAAAATATACACATATACGTCCGCAAAAACTTTTCCAGGGGGAAAAGCTTGAAAACAAATAATTATATCAAAAAATGTTTATTTAATTGTTTAATTTTTGCGGGATTTTTCACAAGTAGATGATAGAATACAGTATTGTATCAATACAAAAAACAGATAGTGTCTCATGGTCGAGAATGTAAGATTACGTATGTCGACCATTTTTACGATTATAATTTGTAGAATTTTTTACTCGATCCGAGGTGAAGACAAGATGCCCCTCTGCAGATGCCCTTTTATATATAAATATTACATCCCTTATAACCATTAAAATTGAAGAAAATGTTATAAGCTTTATTAATGAAGTATTCCAGTGTGAGATGCTACAACAACAATTGAATGAAAAATAATAAAAAAAATGAATATAAAAGTATAAAAAGAAAACCGACAGAATATTTTATTATTATAATTGACAGGATCGGATCAAGAAGAACTCACTCAAAAATTAAAAATATTTGAATAGTTAATAAGTACAGTACATTTTATTAACATGTGACAATGGTTGTATTCCGGATGGTACAACAAACCATATTTGCCATCATAAATGTTTTGAAAAACAACATTTTAAAAGTTCGAACAAGTAAATTTTTATTTTTTATGTCGATGGGAAAGGGAAGGGAAAGGGGGACTGGGAAACTTCCCCAGTCCTTCCCTTGAATCTTCCACTAATAGTGGATCATTAAAATTAAAAAAGGTTATAATATATTAATGTAAGAAGTTTATTCCTGTAACAGTAATGAAATGAATGAAAAAAAAAAAAAAAAAATCTTAATTGTCTTAAAATTTATTTTACTGTGTTTGAAATATTACTTTCCCGATTGTTATATTTAACAAAGGGAAAGTTTCGGTCAAAAAATGGCTTCTCTCCAAGATTTTTACATTTCTGAGTTAAAGACACCTTGAAACGTCGAGAAATGCAAAAAAAACTTTGGCGATTTTTTCTTTGTGTGTATGTATGGGGGACACAATTTTGTTCACCCTGTTCGAAGCTTAATAACTCCTGTGCTTTTTGTCGAAAATTTCTGAAATTTTGCAGGGAGATTTGTTTATTTGGGAGATTGATGCTATTAAATTTTGGTGATTAAATGTCGAGGGGGTGGGGAGATAAAGGAAGTCGTGTTTATCTCCAGTAGGATCGGACTTAATGACGATTTTATTCATTATTAGCATTTACAATTTTTATAAAACCCATATTTAACTTCAAAATTAAGCTTTTTTCTATTTNTATTAATAAATATTAAATTAAATATTAATATTATAATATATAATATTATACTATTAAATTTTTGTTATTTAATTTGAGTTAAGCACCTTCAAACATAGATTTATTGATGTCATTTATATTATACGAGTGTCAATTTATTAATTAATTTGATTGAAATTCAATTGTGATGTATACCAAAAAACAGAAGTAGTATCTTATCCACATATGCATTGAAATCTAATTTGAATAACAATGTCATTGATGGTTTGTGTCGTGACATCTAATGACCTGAGGTGATCTCAGCACCACTAACTTCTGTATCAGTAGTCTCATCATTGATTAATCAGGCTGTCAACTTCCTTTAACACACAAAGTATATGGAGTTAACTGTCTTTATATCTCTAATTGTGACTGACTCTTGTTAAGTAGCTTGTTCAGCAGCCAAGTTATTGTACAGCAACTGGGGCAAATATGGCATTCAAAATTTTGTCTGTAAACCAAATTGTTCGAAAGTGAAGCATTCAAAACCCAAAGTTTGACTGTATATTAATTAGTTAATTCATTCTTTTAAAATTCTTATATAGTATATTCAAGGTCTTATTTTTAAGATTTAATTACACAATAGTTATTTATATTTTTTTAGAAAGGTTTATTTCAAATTATTTATTTTTAGATAAAAATTTGTTAATTTTTAGAAAGCATTTTCAATCACATATTTTCAACGATGTTCTTGCTGTTTTTTTTCTTTTCTGTTTTTTTTTAATAATTTTCTTTTAATACAGTATTAAGTTTTGTGATATACTGATGCATGGCTTAGTAGAAATTGTATAATTTTTTTTTTCTGAACAGATTTTAATCTGAAGGGATATGGATTCTATAATACAGTAAGACCCCGCTTAAAGCTGATTCAATATAACGCAGTGTGCTTAGCACCTAAAAAAACACTTAAAATTTATGCTGATCCAAAATAATGTGGCATTTCATTGATTTGTATATAATACAATTATTCCCAAACACGAACCAATCAGCAAAAGGTGGCAATTCATTGTAGCACGGTATTTCCTTTAAATCCATGTTTGTTTTGTGCAATTTTGGAAAAAATATAACATCATGGATGCCATAGGAAATAGCGACTTGGCTTGGCAAGAATTAACTGATAAATGCCTGAATGGAGTGTGGAAGAAGTTATGGCTGAAGGTATCCAAGAATTCTCATCAAGAAGAGCATATCACTGTATCATTAGATTGACAAAATTGTCAACTTAATCTATACAGATGTAGATGAGCAGGATATTGGGGAGTTACTTCAGGTTTCTGGTAAGAGCCTTACCAACGATGACTTCAAGAACTTGCAGAACAAGGATTTCATGTAGAACTGGAAAACAAAGATTCTGAAAACGAAGAACCCAAAGAAATTGCTACAGATTTCTTTAGTAAAAGTTTGGTAACGATAACCGAAATTGTTGATCAAATTGTAGTGAATGATCTAGATTTTGAAAGGAGTGTAAAAGCAAAACGAGGCGTTTGGATGCGATCTTCTGTTACTGATATTTGCTTAAGAAGAGAAAAAGTGACAAATGAAACTTCATGACTTTATTGCAAAAAAGATTTTCAGAAAAGTCATTACCTTTGTCAGAAAAAATGAACTAATTAATATATTATTATACATTTCTGTGTTCATTTGTCTATATGTTATTTAACATATATTATTATACAAATTAATATAAAAATAACTTAAAATTAAAGTAAATTTTTTAAAAATTTTCGGTCGTTGTTCCCCTATCCCTATTTACTTCACTTAGCGCTTTGTTGTCTAGGAACGCATCCCCATGTTAAGCAAGGTCTTACTGTATAAATATTTAAAAATTTTTCTTTTATGTGTAATATTAAAATTTCTAAAAACTCTAATCCAAAGAACAAAGATGTAAAATTTGTTACAATTTCATGATGAACTCAGGATATTTTTTTTCTAATTATCAATTAGAGATTCAGACTATGTACATTAAAAATTAATTAAAAATTAATTATATAATTTTTTGTACATAGTCTGAATCTCTAATTGATAATTAGAAGAAAAATATCCTGAGTTCATCATGAAATTGTAACTACATGCAAATTAAAGATAACTCGTATCCNTACAACAAACCATATTTGCCATCATAAATGTTTTGAAAAACAACATTTTAAAAGTTCGAACAAGTAAATTTTTATTTTTTATGTCGATGGGAAAGGGAAGGGAAAGGGGGACTGGGAAACTTCCCCAGTCCTTCCCTTGAATCTTCCACTAATAGTGGATCATTAAAATTAAAAAAGGTTATAATATATTAATGTAAGAAGTTTATTCCTGTAACAGTAATGAAATGAATGCAAAAAAAAAAAAAAAAAATCTTAATTGTCTTAAAATTTATTTTACTGTGTTTGAAATATTACTTTCCCGATTGTTATATTTAACAAAGGGAAAGTTTCGGTCAAAAAATGGCTTCTCTCCAAGATTTTTACATTTCTGAGTTAAAGACACCTTGAAACGTCGAGAAATGCAAAAAAAACTTTGGCGATTTTTTCTTTGTGTGTATGTATGGGGGACACAATTTTGTTCACCCTGTTCGAAGCTTAATAACTCCTGTGCTTTTTGTCGAAAATTTCTGAAATTTTGCAGGGAGATTTGTTTATTTGGGAGATTGATGCTATTAAATTTTGGTGATTAAATGTCGAGGGG